ATTCCAGTGATTCATCCCCTACATATAACACCCAGTGCTCATCCCAACAAGTGTCTTCCTTAATGTCCCTCACCCATTTAGCCCATCCCCCCACCCACAACCCCTCCAGCAACCCTCAGTTTGTTCTTTGTATTTAAGAGTCTCTTATGTTTTGTCCCCTTCCTTGTTTTCATATTATTTTTGCTTCCCTTCCCTTATGGTCATTGGTTTTGTATCTTAAATTCCACATATGAATGCAGTCATATGACACTTGTCTTTCTCTGACTAAATTTGCTTAGGGTAATACCCTCTAGTTCCATCCACAGTTGGAATCTAGTTGCAAATGGCAAGATTTCATTCTTTTTGATTGCCGAGTAATACTCCATTGTATATATATACCACTTCTTCCTTATCCATTCATCCATCAATGGACATTTGGGCTCTTTGCATACTTTGGCTATTGTTGACAGTGCTGCCATCAACATTGGGTGCATGTGCCCCTTTGAAACAGCACACTTGTATCCCTTGGATAAATTCCTAGTAGTGCAATTGCTGGGTCATAGGGGACTCTTGTCTTCTTATAAAGAAGTATCTTATATTTCTAGCAGAGGTTTTGTGGAAGATACTATGGGAAACACTGAAGTAATAACTGTGTGATCAGAGATACGCTTTAGGCTCATGAGTCTGGAGGTGATATCATTTAGGATGAAGTAGAAGGACAGAGGCAATGAAACAGGTTAAATATCCAGGTAAATAAAATCCACATGATGAAAGTGATCATAGAAACATACATTGTGAAGATAAGATGGGCAGGTCTTTGCATTTGAATGATCATAGGTAATAAGGACAAGAAATGGGTGGTATGAAGTCATGGGTATTCAGACATACATTTGGTCAATAGGAAAATGACAGCACTTCTCATGGAAATGGGTAGATAAAGCTGCACCTTAGTGGCACCTGGATAGATTCACTAAAGGAATGAAAGACAAACAATTAATTTTCCTCGCAAGAGGATTGAGCCTCTGACCGTCACAAGTTCACTTACTCCTCCTTCCTGTAGGCCTTTCCTCCCTCCTTTCCTTTTCTTTCCAAGTTACCCCTCTTACAGAGGTAAGGCTTATCATGAAATCTGGATACTGAAGGAAAACAGTCTCCTTTGCTTCCGTTTTCTATATCCCTTATGGGCATTCTTTTTAAGAGTTTTAGTGCTGATGAATAGAGGAAGTAAATATACTAACAGGACTCCACTTCAACACATGCTAGTCAGTTACTTAGTATGATATAATAAATATGGGACAATTAAAAACAGCAATTTACAGCGGCTTAAAAATTTTTTTAATGTTTATTTTTGAGGTAAAGAGAGAGACAGAGACAGAACAGAGCATTAGCAGGGGAGGGGCAGAGAAAAGGGAGAGCCTGCTTTGGATTCTGTGTCTCCCTCTCTGCTCCTCCACTGCTCGTGCTCTCTCTCTCTCAAAAACAAACATTAAAAACATTTTTTAATTGGAAATGAGAATGAGATGAGAAGAGAAAAATGAAGTATAATATATAGAAGGACCATATTACTGTGCAAACTAGAATACTTGAGAGTAGAAGAAGGTGCTATCAATTACGCTGAGGAAGCAGGCATAGAGACTGGTCCAGGTAGACCAGTTGGACCATCTCACCCTAGGAAGTGGTACAGCACTAAATATGCCTTTAAAGTGTATTTCTTTGCTTCTGGGAAAGGCTGATATTTTTAAAAGAAGAAACAAAAGTCTGGCATGAAAATGCAGATGAGAAATGGAAAACCCAGAAGGAGTGACTTCATCTCTGTTTGCTTAGGTGTGGGGTCATCAGGAGTAGGGCTCTGATTGAATAATGGTGTATGTGTGTCAGAAGAAAACAAAATAGTGTGGTTTATTGTGTTTTGACAAGAGGAGACCCTTGTTCACATAAATGTTCCATCATTTTAAATCTGAGCTGATGAGTATCTAAATGTTCCTTATTCTTAACATCTGTACTATTGCCCAAGTCACCCTGTGATCCTTGAGTCACAAAGACCGTATTATGGAAGAACCAACATATACCTCTGTCAATGAGATTATCTGGAAGCAGGGACAGAGTTTTCCCACGAGCAGTGCATGTCATTTAAAATGTTAGTGTACAAATGAATTTTTATTTAATAACAGTGGTTATGTATGGCATGTTGTCATTCTAAAATAGATGATTTTTAAAAATTATGTTTATTTATTGATTTTAAGAGAGAGCGTGTGCATGAGCAGGGAAGGGGCAGAGAGGGGGAGAGAGAGAATCCCAAGCAGGCTCCACGCTGCCAGCACAGAGCCCTATGCAGGGCTCAAACTCACAAACCATAATTGTGAATTCATGACCTGAGCCGAAATCAAGTCAGATGCTTACCTGACTGAGCCACCCAGGCACCCCAATAGATGCATTTTCTAAGAGTAAAACAAACAAAAGGGTTCCTGGGTGGTTCAGTCGGTTAGGCGTCTAACTTGGCTCAAGTCATGATCTTGTGGTTTGCGTTTTCAAGCTCCATGTCAGGCTCTCTGCTGTCAGTTTGGAGCCTGCTTCGGAGCCTCTGTCCCACTCTCTCTGCCCTTCCCCTGCTTGTGCTCTTTCTCTCTCAGAAATAAACAAACATTAAAAAAAAGAGTAATACAATAAATAGTCCACAAAATCAATACTAACATAAGTTTTTAAAAAGCCATTGTAGGGGCGCCTGGTGGCTCAGTCAGTTAAGCATCTGACTTTAGTCACGATCTTGTGGCTTTGTGGCTGACAGTGAGCTCCAACCAAAGAACTGGGAGATCATGACCTAAGCTGGACGAAGTTGGATGCTCAACCAATTGAGCCATGCAGACACCTCTCTCATTTCCAATGTTAACATTTATTTTAAAGATATTTTTATGCATTTTTAAAGTTTTTTTCTTTTTTTTGAGAGAGGGAGAGAATGTGGGGGAGGGGCAGAGAGAGAGAGAGAGGGAGAGAATCCCAAACAGGTTCTACACTGTCAGCACAGAACCTGATGCAGGCCTCGAACCCATCAACTGTGAGGTCATGACCTGAGCTGAGATCAAGAGTTGGTCTGCTTAAGCAAAAAAAAAAAAAAAAAAAGAGTTGGTCTGCTTAAACAACTGAGCCACCCAGGGCCCCACCATGTTTATTTTTTAAAGTACAGTATTCTAGGTTAAGTGGGGAAGATCCTAGGAAGACACTTAATCCTATTTCATACTTGATAGAATTCAGTCTCTACCTGAACTTTTTGGCTGAACTTATCTTACCTTGTGAGGTATTATTTTTCACTCTTGGGTATCTTTAAGTTTTATGAAAACCCTCTTGCCTTGTATTATTCTTCCCCAGTCTAAAACTCATATAGATTTGGGATTCCTTTATCAACCATAGATTTTTGTAATGCCCAGCCTAAGGCATCCATTGTATATTATGAATTAGCTTTTTTGATATGTAGAATATTATTAGATATATGCTATCCTTGCGAGAGCTGAGAAATAGCTCTTTTGTATTGCATGGTTCATATGAGGAACCTATCCAACAGCTGCCAAGGTTCTATCATTTACTAGCTGTGTGATCTTGGAGAGTTCAAACATCATCTCCTTGTGCCTTGGTTTCTCAGCAGTAAAATGAAGTCTAGTATCTTTCCGGGCCATTCTGAGACCTAAGGGACATACATAGAGCTCTAGCAAAATAGAATCATTCTTGATCTTGCTCACTGCTTTACTCTGCCTTGTACAGATAGCATCAGGCAGAGTAAGTTCTCAATAAATATCTGAATAACAATGACGAAGAGCCCCTAGCACAATGCCTTATGCATAGCACTCAATAAAAGGTAGCTGCTACTGTTCTTTCAACCATTTTTCCTATTACCTGTTTTTCAGACCTCTCACTATATTAATCACTCTGATTTATCAACATTCTTCAGATGTGGTTCTAACAACTCAGTACTGTATGGTGTGTGGTAATTTTGCTTTATCTGGCATTAATTACAGAGGAGTCAACTGGGAAAAAGCTAGTCTACCTGCTTATATCGAGGTGGCATTTAAAAAGCCCACCTTCTCCCAATATCATCCTTTAAGCCTTAGGAAATGTATGATGCACCTAATGAAAAGTCTAGTGTGGTGACTACCTATTAGTCTCCCTCTCTAGAGCACACTCCTTGATCCCTTTGATGGCCTGGCTGTAAAGTTTGTCCACAGTGCTCACCACTGGGAAGATTTTCAAATATTGTTGGACGGTTAAATGAGTAAAGACAAAAAAGAAAGTTGGAGGAAGATGCTAAAGTGAATAGATGAACAGCTCCTCACAATGGAAACTGTGAGACTAGTGTTTCCACCAGTGTATGCTAGGGCAACAGATTCAGATTAAGGAAAGAATGCTAATCAAATCACAAATATAAACGTGAAAACTTTGGAGGCTATGACAAAAAAGAAATGTAAACTGGCTTCGTAATTTGAACAAGCAGCAAGGATTAGGTCCGCTTTTGTTCTTAGTATGATTGAGATTGGAGTTCGTAGATATCCCTGAAGAAAAACTGGAGATGTTGAAAGGATTAAGGGCAAGAAGATAGGCTAAGCGTGGGGCCCTATGGGAGAATGAGCCAGGGTAGTAAATTTTTTAAAAAAGCATTTCCTTCTTACCAGCAAAAGGAAAAGTAATGGGAACAATCTGGGGTACAGAGGCAGGCAGTTAAGGAAGCTCCAATTACAAATCTCAAAGTAGGACAATCGGCCAGGGAGACAATTTGGGTCCACAGTTGGAACGGAGGGCGCAAGGGAAAACCAGTGGTTGCTGACCTCCGGGAACGGCGGCTCAGCTTTGTGACGTTTAAGAAAAAAATTTCTACCCCCTTCCTGATCTAATCATCCCGGCCGCTTTCAAACCATCGGAATTAAGCAACAGGTAAAAATGTCCTCCGTGCTACGCCGTGTTAACAGGACTCCTACGTATTGTTATATTAAAAACGAAAATACATCTCTAAGAATAAGACTTTCAGGACACCACGGGAGGATTTGCGAGAGGCCTTGTTTACAAGCGGATCGAGGGGCGCTGGGGGTATTGCTACGAAGGCGAAAGGCGGGCTGCGATCACGCTTCCGATCGCAACCAGACGCTGCTGCAGCACGCTCCTCAGGAGATCCAGTTTGACCGCGGGGGTCGGATACGGGGAGAATCTGGCCGGGCGGCAGCGGTTCCGCCCATCACCTTCCCTTCCCTTTATAAAGCGGGGCGGGCTCCGCCGGCTGTCGGCCCGAACGCTCAGCCGTACCGCCCGCGGAGGAGCGGGTGCTGGAAGAATCGCCTCCGGCCTGGCAACGAGGAGGCTGTCTCCGGAGACCATGGCGGACGGGTTGAGGTCGCCGTGGGAAGCGCGGTAGGCCACCCTGCTCCTTTGATCGCCGGCGGACAGGGCCATCTTCAAACACCGCGCGTAGTGTCTGTTACGTCCCTCGGTCAAGCAGGCCCCTGGCGGCTCCGATCAGTCCAGCCGGTGTCGAACCGGACCCCCGCCCACAAGGGAAGCCATAACCAGCGCCGCGGCCGATCTAGGAGCCGCCTTCAACCGGCGCTCCCCTCCCGAGCATGCGCAGCTCCTCCGCGCACGTCGACGCAGACCAACGTCTACGTCCGTGACGTCCGGGGCGACGAGGACGTGGGGTTTCTGAGAGTGCGCAGTGAGCGCGGCGGCGACGACCCTTCGGCCTTTTTAGGGAGGGGGCGACGTTGCGATGGGGGCGGCGGCGGCGGAAGCGGATCGCACGCTCTTTGTGGGCAACCTTGAAACGAAAGTGACCGAGGAGCTGCTTTTCGAGCTTTTCCACCAGGTGAGCGGCGGAGAGCAGGCCCTTCCGTTCGTTTCCCGGCTCCCGTGTGGCCCGGCCCATCTGCCATGCCCGCCTTCTTCTCGAAAGCTGGGCTGTGGGGCCCGGCGCCCGACGGCTGGGCCGCTTGGGGCCGGAGGTCGCTCTTGGAAAGTGAGGCGCCCGCGGGGGAGTCGCTTTATGGAAAGAGCCCTGGTTAGTTCACGCCGAAGTGACAGCCCAGGGCGGCGAAGGGGTCCTCGGTGAAGCCTTCCCGAGGGTCCTGAGGAATCTAATACGGTGGGTTCTTCGTGCAGCAGTGCTTTTTCCTAGTCTTCCTTCCCCTCAGGGCACTTTGTCTTTGGTGCATCTGACTGGTAGAGCGTATTTCAGTTGTTTGGTCATTATCTGTTTTCCATGTAAGTTTTCTTTATTGCAGCATTAAAATATTTAAAATAAACTCCTCAATACTCTAGAAAGGCAGACTTGTGTTTCGATGGTTAAAATCCGCATTAAAACGCGTTACAGTCAAGAATATCCTGCTCTCTCCAATTCTATTCTCTAACAACTGGTAACGTTTGGTTAATCAGTAAAAAAGTGAATTTTTAGTCCAAGAAAACTGCATTCTGTAGCTCTTGATAAACGGGTACCTTGGTTGAGAAAATGATGGAGTTGGCCACCTTGTTAAGAAGTCATAAAGTACACTGACCTGTAAACTCAGTGACTGCTGCCGGTTCGTTATGGGTTTCTTTCCCCAAATATTAATCAAGTGTTGGGTCATAGATATAGGATCTTTCACCGAGGTGGAAAGGCTTGTGTGTCCATTTTTTTAGACTTCCTGATTACATTTTTTGTTATTTTTAAACTTTGTAAAATTTGAGTTTTTCTCTTCTGGTCTACAGGCTGGGCCAGTAATAAAAGTGAAAATTCCAAAAGATAAGGATGGTAAACCAAAGCAGTTTGCATTTGTGAATTTCAAACATGAAGTGTCTGTTCCTTATGCGATGAATCTACTCAACGGAATCAAACTTTTTGGGAGGCCCATCAAAATTCAATTTAGATCAGGTAACTATTCAGTGTTATTGTTTGGGGAGAGGGTTTTGTGGGGTTTTTTTGTGTCTTTGTTCTTTGTTTTTAATTTTGTTCAATTTTAAAGAATTTCTTTTGGGATGAAAATACTTTAAGCTTTGTGGATAGTAAACTTTATATATCCCTGAAAATAGGTGACTGGCAGCAAGGATTTTGAAAGTTGTCGTTTTTAAATTGAGTTTGGGTTCAATGAAGAGAATGTAAACTTTGTTGTTAGAATGACTTGGGTTTGGGTCCTTGCTCTGAAAGGAGCAAGGATTGTTTTCTGAAAACACTTTTCCTGGCTGCTTTGTAATTTACATGTACAAATTTTGATTCTGGGACCCGATGAGGATGAAACTTTCTGTGTATCCAGTCTGAAAAATTCCATGTGAGGATCAGAGTAGTACGGCTAGATTGGGTATTTATACATCGGATAGTCCCTTGTTTTGGATGTGTGTGGTGTTAAACACTTAGAATTTTCCCTCTGGTGAAATTGTAAAGCAGTCTCTTGTAATTTGAGGTTTTCTCTTGTAGGCTCTGTCTACATGATTTGGGGTAGGGGAGACATAATTTCAACCTAAGTTTTCTGTCAGTGATTTCTCAAATTTTTTCATTTTAGGAAGTAGCCACGCCTCACAGGATGTCAGTTTGTCATATCCCCAACATCATATTGGGAACTCAAGCCCTACCTCTACATCTCCGAGCAGGTAATATTTTGCACCTATTGTTAAAATCTTTTATCAGAAATTTCCTTAGGTAGTGATCCCAAAACGCACAATGAGTGATTTGTTTCCTCCTTTAAGCTCTTTTTTATTCTTCTGCTATATTATTTGTATTTTGGCTTATAATGAGGTATCCACTTCAAAGGGATTATACACAGACATGTATAGTACCCCTAAAATAGATGCATATGTTAACCATAATTATGTTCATTTGGAAAGACATATTTTTGTACATAATTGAAACAAAATCTCCCAGAATATTATTTACCCTCACTGTTTTCAGTATACTCTATTTTCTAATCTGTTTCCTTTAAAAATTTTAAATTAGTTTTGACCATTTAATGGTTGTTATCTTTCAGTTTAAAAATACCTATCTATAAACAGACTAGTGGACTAAGAGTTTGCAGAATTGGATTCTAGGTCTGCCTCTCCTGATGGCATAATCTTGAGGCAGTCTTGTTTCTCTGGTTCTGTCCTTCTGTTTGTAAGGAAAAGCTGATTGACTGATCTCTAGGCTCTCTGCTAGTTCCTAAGGGTGAGAAAAGTTCTCATATTTACATTAAATAATTTTATTTGCTTTGGGAAAGCTGATATTTCACCAGGAACAATTTTTTCCTGGTTCATCCACAGAGCTGTTACATCAATCATAATGGGCTTCACTTAAGGAAGGGTTAACAAACACGTGTCCGGCTCTGCAAGTCCTTTGCATTTATGGTCTTGTTCCTCACGGCGGTCTGATGAGGTGAGGAATGTTATCAGTTCTACCTTACATGTGAAGAAAATGAGGATTGGAGGTTAACTTGCTCAAGTGTGACCTGTTCGTAACAGTGGGCTGGGATTGACACCCAGGCATTGTGACGGAGCCTCTGTGATAGGCTGCATAGTGGAGCCTACAAGTCTGCATGAAGACACGTATGTGTTTTGTGACTACCTGTTTGATAAGTTTTCTAGAGAAAGAGTAGAACATGCTTGAAGAAAAGAACCCTCAAGGAGAGATGATATAAATGAATGAGGAACTAAAAGGGGTCAGCGTACCTAGATCATAATGAATGAGAAATGGAGAGTAGTAGTGTTGGTGAAGTAGAAGAGGCAAGGTGATCTAGGGTCTTGCTTCTAGGCCATAGTGAGGATTTGGGAATAGTAGAAAGGTACCAAAATGTTTTTTAGTAGGATAATAAAGGAACGGGTTTGTATTTTAATGATTTGTTTGGTTGCTGTGGGAGAATGGATTGGAGGGGACAGGGCTGAAAGTAGCCCAGTGAGGAAGCTGTTGGTAGCAAGGTACTGGCATTAGTTGCAAGATAGCAAGGAGGTTACTGGGATGATGTTGATGGCTTGGATTAGGTGGTGCCAAGAGCTGATACAAACCAGATGACTGGAAAGCAAAGTTGCAAGAAAGAGTAGTGTAAAAAGGGTACCATCTTCACATCCTTTCTTGTCAACTGAAACTGTTTAAATACTTCTCAGCACATTCAGAGCTTGGAAGAGTCTAGGGGCGGGGCGCCTGGGTGGCTCAGTAGGTTAAGCATCTGACTTCGCCTCAGGTCATGATTCACAATTTGTGGGTTCAGGCCCCGCCTTGGGCTCTGTGCTGACAGCTAGCTCAGAGCCTGGAGCTTGTTTTGGATTCTGTATCTCCCTTTCTCTGACCCTCCCCTGCTCACGTTGTCTCCATCTCTCTCTCAAAAAATAAATAAAACATTTTTTAAAAATTAAAGAAAAAAGAACTTGAAGTGTCTAAAACCACTTGTATGGAAGCTTCAGAGGTATCTCAGGTTGGAGGAAAAATGGTTTTTAGCTCTCTGAGAATTCTCTTTGGGAAAAAATGTTCGAGTAAATAAGTTGTTTTTAATTTAAAGCTACAATATACAGCTTGTTTATACTTTTATTCTAAGGAAAATTATACTTTTTATCACTTTAGCATACAGATACATGACTAATTTAAGAAAATCCAAAATGAGGAGCCGCTGGGTGTCTCAGTCAGTTGAGTGTCTGGCTTTTTTGGGTCAGGTTCTAATCCCAGGGTCATGGGCTCCAGTCCAGCATCAGGCTTCACACTGAGTGTAGAGCCTGCTTGAGATGATCTCTCTGCCTCTGCCCCTCCCTGTTCATACACGTGCCCATGCTCCATGTTTCTCTCTCTTAAGGAAAAAAAAAAAAACCTCAAAGCGAAAAGATCTAAACTATGAAACAAATCAATTAGTGATTTGATCCTAAATATTTTAAAATAAAATAAATTTGAAATACTTGCTAAGTGTGTTTTTCTGTAGAGCAGGCTACCTTTTTAGGAGGTTGGGAATAAGATACAAGTCCGTTGAAGTTAATATCCTGTTTATGTTACAGAATTCTTAATTCCTTGTTTTCCCAGACCTGTTCCTCTTCCTTGTCTCAGTAAATGTGTATGTAATTGCTCAAGCCAAAATTCTGCGTTTTTATCTTTAATTTTTCTTTCTCCTTCGTCTGTCATCTAATCAACCATATCCTTTTCATTTTAGTTTTCAGCCTAAGCCTTTGTGCTAGCCCTGGGATTGATGGGAGTTTTTTTCCTATAAAGGGCCAGGTAGTTCATATTTCAGGCTTTGCAGGCCAGCGTAACACTGCATAGAAAATACAAACACAAGAGTGTGTTATAAAAACTGGATTGGCCCACAGGCCATATAACTTGCTCACCCTGTGCTCGATCTTCCTGCAGCTGGAATGTTTTGCCTCCAGGTGATCTGGTTACTCAGTTTTCACTTCAGATGTCTCCTTTTCAGAAAGGGCATCCATGACCAGCAAGCTAAAATAGAACTCCTGTCTCTCACTGTACTTGCTTTTTAGTCGACTGTTCATAATATCACTTGTAACAAGGTGAAACTGTCTTACTGTCTGCATCCTTTGCCTTATCTATGAGAGCAGATACCCTGTCTTTCTTGTTCATTCCTACCTTTGGGACCTGTGTCTTGCCCATGAGTAGTATGTAGTAAATATTTGTTAAATGAATGATTATATGTTGTTTTTCTTTCACAGGTATGAAAGGACTGCGGATAACATGATTTCATCAACACAGATAATTCAGAGGTCTTTCTCTACTCCAGAAAATTTTCAGAGACAAGCAGTGGTAGGTTGATTTATCAACCCGAATTGCTAAAAAGCAAAAAAAAAAACCCACCAAAATACTTAGATTGAAATGTTCAAATACTTCTTAAGTAATGTCCTAAGTTTTAGTTAGACTAGCATGATCTTTGTAGATTGTGACCATTCATTTTAGTTTTCCCTGGGCTGAAGTACATATTTAAAAGATTGAAGATAAATAGAAGAGCTCCATTTCACATTTATATTTTTCTTCAGCCATTGTTTTGGGGGGTAGGGGGCAGAGGCTGTTTCAAAGACTGGAAATTTATTCTCTGATGTTCTTGCCACCTATGCTGAAGGACTTAATTATCATATGCTCTCTTTGATGCTTAATAACAGTAATTGAATATGTTGGAGTCTTCCAGGCCAGCTTCCTCTTGCTTTCCATTTTTCCTGTAATATGAGGTTGTGAGACTAGGCTTAAAGTCCTTGGTATGTTTTACTGTTCCATCTTTGTGTCCAGTCCTTCATTTTTTCATTTCGTCATCAAGTCCTTTATTTTTTTCTTTTTCTTGAATTTATTTCTTTTTTTTTCTTTACCCTAATCACAATCTCGGCTAATGACCTCTGACTTTTTGCAGGCCTGCAGATATAAGAATGAAGTAAGGTAAAACTGAGACAAGTATGAAGGGATGTCAGCTTTTATGTACATATCATATATTTTTGTCATTTTGCTGTAAGCTATTTAAAATAATTGTCTCTGGCTTATTAGCTATCTGCAGGCAGAATTTGGGGACCACTGGTCTAGTCAGTTCATACTTGTCTCCATTTTCTCCTCACTGGTCCTTCTTACACACTTGTTTCAAAATTACTGTAACCCTGTTTTGCTTATCTTCCTGGCAATTTGACTTTTCATTGTTTGGAAGATAAAGTCAGAATTCTCTAGCTTAGTTAGTAGGTACTCCATCATCTAATGCCAATAAAGCTTTTTAGCCTAATTGTCCAGTAATCACTGCTTAAAAGCTCTGTAACTTCTCTCAGTCAGAATTACTTGCTTTTCTATGAACACATTCTGGTTATCTTGGTGCAATTGCCTTTGCTTGATATACTTCCCCCTTAAAATATTCCATCCATACTTTTAACACTTAGATGCTGTGCTACCTTCATGAAGCCTTGATGATACTGAGCTCTTGGCTCTTTATGTGTTCATCAGACAGTGCTTTACATTGTCATTTGTATGACCTCTTCCCTTCTAAGTTTTGTTCTTGAGGGCAAGGCGTGGTAGGGGTAGTTATAGTTGGGTGGGGGGCACCTGGGTGGCTTAGTCTGTTAAGCTTCCGACTTCAGCTCAGGTCATGATCTCACATTTTGTGAGTTTTAAGCCCTTCATCAGGCTTTCTGCTGTCAGCACAGAGTCTGCTTTGGATCCTCTGTCTCCGTCTTCCTCTTTCAAAAATAAATAAACATTAAAAAAAAAAAAGCAGTAGTTATGTACAGATATCTTGTAGGTTTACATTGGAATGAACAGAGCCATTGTATTTTTCTACTTTGACTTGTTTAACCTAAGATCTACCTTGGCAAGGAGAGTGAATTTGCTTTTCCATCATTATCTGTTTGGTTCACTGCAACTGAATATATACTGGCTTTCATATCTAAAAATATTTGTAGTTAACATTTCCTTTTTTTCTTCTCTTAGATGAACAGTATTTTGAGACAGATGTCATATGGTGGGAAATTTGGCTCTCCACATCTGGATCAGTCAGGATTTTCCCCATCGGTTCAGTCACATAATCCTACGTTTAACCAGTCTTCAAGCTCCCAGTGGCGCCAGGAGACGCCACCATCACAACGTAAAGTCAGACAGAATGCTCATCCCTATGCCCTGGATAGGCATTATAGCCGTGAACAGCGTTACACTGACCATGGGTCTGACCATCACTACAGAGGAAGCAGAGATGACTACTTCCATGAAGAACGGAATCCTGATGGCTGGAGCCACGACTATGAAAATAGAAGAGACAGTAGTAGAGATGGAAAATGGCGTTCATCTCGACACTAACAAGTATTAAAAGGACGATATTTTTACAGGGTCATTCTAGGCCCTTTTGGCTAAATTGATCTAGAAGTGTTAACTGTACAGAGCAGCTTTACAAGTTGCCACATTTCTTTATAAAATTTTAAAACCTATGGCTGCAGTCTAATACAGAAATAAGAATTGTGGTTCCAGTTTTATTACATTAATAACCTTTCACCTCAGGGTTTTATGAAGAGGAAAGGGTTTTATGCAAAAGAAAGTGCCACAATTTCTAATCATTTTAGACAGTTAAGAAAGGGATGTATCATATGGATTGGTTGTATTATAAAGCAAATATTTTAATTATCTGTTATCTTTTTGTATTGCAAGAAGTTTGTTGTTAGTGAATCAGATTTGGTGTATATAATAGAAGACCTTCAAGTTTTGATAGTCTGAAATGACTGTCAGTATTTTGTTAATAAAAGAAAATAATTTCAGTGACTCATTTTACTAACATTGTACTTAAAAAGCTTATTGGTGTTGTTTGGGGATAAATCCTATTTGACTTTTTAGAGAATTTCTACCGTAAGTTCTGTGACATGCTCGTTTGGGTTTTACTCTAATTGAACATAAAATTGTAAATCCATACATGCTGTCTCATTCTAAAATTTTAAAGTTTGCTCATTAAATCATGTTTGATGTATAACTGAAGTTACTCAGGAAGTTAAATATCTCTAAATGTATTTTTTTAGGTTAAAAAATACACTGTTAATATAAATCCCCCTTTTCAGGAAAAACAAAAATGTAAAAGCATAGATAAAATGGTAAAATGTTTTACTGAAATTATACTTTTTTTGCAAAAAGGAGGTTCATAAACCGTTTAAGTGCTGCCTCCGTCACTCAAATTTTCAACTTTAACATTGTCAAAGTGCCCAGGACATGTGCACAAGGATACATTTTATTGTGGAGACTGTACAGGTTGCTTTTTTTGTTTGAACGTTTGAAAGAATTTAGTCTTAAACTTTTTCTAATTTAAAAATTTTTAAATCTTGTTTAACAAAACTTGTGTATCAAAATACTGTTTCCCATTCACTGTAGAACTTTATAAAAAATCATTCCTTGAAAAAGATTGACCCTTTTTAATATTAACCACAGCATTTATACAAGTTTTTTAATATATTGAAAACCTAAAAAAGAGTGTGTCTTATTTTTTTTGACATTACTAACTTTACAGACGGTGTGTACAAAATTAGCAGCATGCTTTTGTTCAGTGACCGCCTGATGTAAAGGATGTCAGTTCTCAGAGTGTCCCGAAACACGGCTTTTGTACAGGTAGAACTTAGTGCTTTAGAATGAGATTTTCAGTGGTCTGGATTATAGTTCTTACAGTTAGAAGCTGGTCACCCTCCCTGGTCTCTAGGAGTTCATACTCTCAGGTTTTCGTGTGTGTAAATGCATGTGACACTTTTAGAGAAGTGGAGCTATTGACTCTGCACAGAGAGCATGAAGGTGAGAAGTTTATGTCTTATACGCAGTTTCATAGTAGAAGGATTTGTTTCCAGGGAGCTTGTTCTCTGGTATCTTACCTGTGTGAATACTTCATAGATTTTATAGAGATTAAACTTGCTTTATTGCAAGTTATCTGTGGATCAGATCCTTTCATATTGATCAAGATAATCCTGGTTCAGAGTAATGCTTCTTAATGCTCATTAATGACTTGGGGCACACCCCTTCACGGAAGCTCTAGTGGATCTTTTTCACTTCAATCCCACCCAGTTGAAAGTAACCAAACTAGTAAGTGTACTGTGTAAAGGGACAGAACAAGTGACCCCAACAGATTGGATAGAGTTGGTGAGATCATTCACCCAGGCTTGAGAGCTACAGTAGAAAGGAAGAGGTGTTTTTGTGGGAGCACAGTTTCTCCCCAAGGACATTGCGTGAAATATCACTCTGTTCTGTAATGAAGTGTTTTGGTAAATATTGTGTACGATCTGACCGTGTGTAGCCTTCTCTTAGTATCAAGACCCTAAAGCTTCTGACAAGTACTGCAGTAAAGAAATTTTTTTAATTTTTTTTTTTTTTTTTGAGAGAGACAGACCATGTGAGCAGGGAAGGGTCATAGAGAGAGGGAGACACAGAATCAAAAGCAGGCTCCAGGCTCTGAGCTGTCAGCACAGAGCCCGACACGGGGCTCGAACCCACGAAACGTGAGATCATGACCTGAGCCGAAATCAGACGCTTAACCAACTGAGCCACTCAGGCGCCCCAAGCAATCTTTATGCTTAACCAAGTATTTCCAACTTAATTGACCCTTATTTTACCCTTTTGTACATAACACATTAATATACTCAGACCTCCAAAGAATCTGACTCCACCTTCTCCATCCAATCAGCCAACTTTCTAGTTTTGTTGTGTAGGCCCATATTCCTCGCACCTACTGTATGGTGCTAGAAGGAGCAATCATCCTCTTTCAGGATTATTCCAATCAATACATAAACTACCAATTTATGTATTCCAATAGTTCCCTGTATTTCTCTTGTCATAGCTTTATACTGTGTTACAATTTTCTCTTTATTTGTATGTCTTCTAGATAGCTCCGTGAAGGCAGAAAACACCTTAAACCAGTGGATTCCCAGTATCCAGTGCCTGGCGTAAAATTACTTGGTAAATTTTTGATGAATGAATGAAGGAATGTTTGTCAGATAATTGAATTTAAAAAAGGAGGCTTAGGCATAGTAGTATTTTTTTAATAGGTTTCTTAACCCTGAACTATCATTGCATCCTGTTATAAAAACCCTGTATAACAATATAAGGTGCCTTTAATACACTCTAGAATTCTATTCGTTTTTCAAAGATGTTAAGGTTTTGATCAGTATTCATGAGGTTTTCTTTAAAAATTTGCTTTATAATGTTGGCTTGGTTTTGGAATTATGGTTCTGCTAGTTTTATAGAATGAATTGGCAAGCTTATCTTGTTCTGTGCTCTGGCAAGAAGATTGAAAAATACACGAATTACCTGCTTAAGACTTGTTGAACTCCTTTGTAAAACGAATTTCTTAGAAGTAACTGATTTTTTCTCCCATTTTTCCTTATGGTTATCAGTCTCCACGTTTCCTACTTTCTCCGGAATCAATCTGATAATTTATACCTTTCTTAAAAAGCCCATTGTCTCTGTCTTTCCAAATTAATCAATAGACAATTGTACATGGTATTTCTTATAATTTTCTGTTACACTCTATCTGCAGTTATGGTTCCATTTTAGTTCCTGATATATTTCACTTTCCCTCCCAAATCTCGGTTAGACTTGCTGTACCGTTAGACATTTTGCGTTTATTTATGTAAAAGCAGCACACTAGGGGCGCCTGGGTGGCTCAGTCGGTTAAGCATCTGACCAGCTCAGGTCATGATCTCACGGTTCATGGGTTCGAGCCCCACATCGGGCTCTGTGCTGACAGCTCAGAGCCTGGAGCCTGTTTCGGATTCTGTGTCTCCCTCTCTCTCTGGCCCTCCCCTACTCTCTCTCTCTCTTTCTCTCTCAGAAATAAATAAAACATTAAAAAATTAAAAAAAAAATAAAAGCAGCACACTACATTGTGTTTGTTTTTTGAAACATTCTCTTTTATAGAGATTTAAATACAAATCATGTATTCCAGTAGCTAACCATTTCTGGAGCTCTTTGGTCATCCGTGTCGATCACCTGGTATCTACTTGAAGTTTTTGGGATATGTCTCATAGTGCAGGCTTGCTGCTGGTGATGAATTCTTTTCGCTTTTGTGTCTGGAAAAGTGTATTTTACCTTTGTGTTTGAAATCTCTTTTTGCTGGGTATAGAATTCTAACTTGACAGTGTGTTTTCCCCTTTTGATACCTTAAAAATGTGGCTCCACTGCCCCCCTGCCTGCATTTTTTCCTGTAAGAAAACTGCTGTCTAGTACATAAAGTGTCATTTTTGTCTGGCTGGTTTTGAGCAATTGGATTATAATGTGCCTTGATATAGTTTTCTTCATGTTCCTTTTGCTTGGAGTTCTTTTGAGATACATGGCTCTGTGGGTTTATAATTTTCATCAAAATTGGAAAATTTTGGCCATTATTCAAAAAAATTTCTTTGCCCTCACTTTCCTCTTTGGAAACTTCAACTACACTTAATACGAGCCTGTTTGATGTTATCCCATAGCTCACTGATGTGCTGTATTTTTTAAATTATTTTTTCTCTGTATGTTCATTTTGGATAGTTGTATTCCTGGGTCTTCAAGACTACTTTTTTTCCTTTTTTTTTTTCCTGCAGTGTTTAGTTAGCAATTAATTCCAATATAATAATCATCTTAGATGTTGTAGTTTTTCTCTCTAGAAGTTTGATTGACATCACTTTTTTCTGATTGGTACTCTTTTTTTTTTTTCCTTAGTTCTTCAGCTTCATTGAGGTACAACTGACAACCTTGTAATCTATTGTATGATTTGATACACACTGTAAAAGAGTTCCCCCAGTGAGTTCATTAACACATGATTTTTGGATCTTTTTTAATATCCTCACTATCTTTACTTAAATTTTTCAACAAATGGAACAAAGTTACAGTAATTTTTAACATCCTTGCCTGCTAATTCTAATATTTTTATCAGGTCTCAGCTGCGTTCTGTTGGTTTACTACCATTATTGGATGTATTTTCTCGCTGCTTTGCACGCCCTGCAGTTTTGACTGGATGCTGGGCAATATGGATTTCACCTTACTGGATCCTTGATAGTTTGTATTTCTGTAAATATTCTGGAGCTTTTTTCTGGTACACACATACGTTACTTGGAGACCATTGTAGCTAGGACATGACTTAAGATTTGTTAAGCAGGGTTTCAGAACTGTTTAGGATTAACTCACCCCATTACCGAAGCTAAACTCTCAAATACTGTAACAGATGCTCATGAATTGGGAAATTTTTCAGTCTATCTAGTGGGAACAGATAATATTCCTGGTCCTATGTGAGTGCTGAGTAGTGTTCCCTCTAATTCTCTGGGACAATTCTTTTCCCAGCCTTAAATAGTTTCTTCAAACCTGTATGCTGATCACTACTCTCATGAATACTGGAGGAAACCTGCAGATGTCTGAGACGTTTCTCCTGGGCACCTTAGCCCCCTGCAGCTCTGTGTACTGGACGTCCTAGCTGCCTGGATGATCACAGGCTTTCTTTTTTTTTTTTTTTAAGATTTCCTGGCAGTGAGCCAACAGGATTGACCCACGGCCCAAGCACACCTGTCCCAAGGCTGCAGAGGACAACTTGGAAGCACACCCACCCTCCTCGGCTGGCCCTTCTGCCTGTGAGCTCCATTCCGCTCTGTGTGACGCCCGCCAGGCGCTTGCATAAAGGTTTCTTTTCCCAGTTTTTATAATGGTTCCATGCATGTGTGAGGAACAATTTTCTGTTTCAAAACTCTGCCTTGACAAAATTATCTCTTACCTGACAAGCTGTGTAAATGAAAAATGTCAGAATGAGGAGCTATTTAAAAAAATAACTAAAATGCATGCGTATTAATTTAATACACATTAAGTATACATTCACTTGCCAATCTTTTGATGGTGAGCCAAAGGCTTTTCCTTATATCTAGGTGCTCTAACTGGAGTTTAGTGGCTGTTCTTGCATAAATCACTACCAGACTG